CCTTTTTCTCCACACCTTCTCCAGCATTTATTATTTGTAAACTTTTTGATGATGGCCATTCTGACTGGTGTGAGGTGAAGCCTCATTGTAGTTTGATTTGCATTTCTCTAATAATTAGCGATGTTGAACATCTTTTCATGTGCCTGTTGGCCGTCTGGAGAGATGTCTATTTAGTTCTTTTGCCCATTTTTGGATTGGGTTGTTTGGTTTTTTGATACTAAGCTGTATGAGCTATTAGTATATTTTGAAAATTAGTCCCTTGTCAGTTGCATCATTTGCAAATATTTTCTCCCAAGGAAATGGGTGTGCTTTCTATTAGTGATCGACTCAGTCTACATTTATTCTAATCTTTTGGTGGTGTGAGGTGTGAAAAAGTTTTTGAACATGGCATTGGTATTTTTTAACTACCCATTTTGAAAATGATAAAGAACATATTTGGCTTGATCTCACAGTGTTTGGGCTGGTCACTGACTGCCTGAAAACACGGGGGGTGTTTCTGTTTGTCGGGGAAGCGCGTGTACAAGGACATCACGTTACTTGTGGGAAGGGAGAGACTTTTGCCTGCTGCAAGTCCAGGAGAGTAATCAGAGACCCTGCAATCTGAAAACAGCTTCTACATGTTGCTACAGATGCAGAGTGCCCCAGGGGACAGAGACTGTGAGGGGTGCTGACACAGTGTGTGCCTAGCCGCTGGGTTTTCTCTCCCCCTAAATCAGGAGAACTGTGTTTATCGGCACCCTGATGTTAATCTCCTTAAATTTCCCAGCCTTTTGCAGGGCTTCATGGATCTCAATCAGTCATTCATTCACAGGCGAGTCGTTCACGCAGATTTCCTTGCTCCTGATAGGGAGGCCTCCCATCATGAAACAGGCCAAGCCCCACCCACGTGTATCAAGGTTACCTCTGGGCATCTCATGTTTCCCCGGTTTGCCAGAGCCAACGCCAGTCAGGCTTTTCTTTGCTTGAGAGGAAAAGACAAAGGCAATACTGTTGTGCTCAGGCAGGTCTGGGCTCTGGAGAGAGTAGGGAAGGCCCTGAGATCTTCATCCCCTATTTCAGTCAACCAAATGTATTTGCTGTCTAATGATAAACAGTGCGTGATCAGGTATTAAATTCTTCAGCCTTTTTCTTCTTCTAACTAGAACTTCTATATTCTTCTAGTTAACTATAAGCTAAAGATCAAAACAGGAGGACAGGGCTGAGGCCACCTCCCAGGAAGCCAGTCCTGTTGATACCTCCACCCCGGAGGGCACGGTGCCTGGAGCGTTGTAACTTCACCCCTGTCAGCACACAGAGTGTGATTTCTAAAACCCCAGCTTCCTTATGTTGAAATAAGGATGCTTTTCAAAATACCTAAGATAATTGCGTTGCTCTGAGTGAACTGACACAGGAAACCATGTGGGGAGAGCTCATATATAATTTGTAACAGCACATACCCCCAGTCTTTTTTCCCTGTTTCCTTTCTTTGAAGCTCCCTGCTCTCTGTCCAGTGTCCGCTCTGGGCTGCCAAACCAAAGAAAAGGCTTAGTAAACTTTAGGGCGTTTGAATATATGTGTGTATGTATACATATGTATATTTTATATATACATGCATGCCTGGGACATTGTGCTGTATGCCAGAAATTGACACATTGTAACTGACTGTACTTCAATTGAAAAAAAGAAAGAAACTTTTGGGTGTTTGTCACAAATGAGCAGCAACCTGGATGGGGTTTTGACCCATTTTCCTCCCTCTTCTTCCTCAGCTGGAGGCTCGTTCCTTAAGAAACAGATTTGTTATGGGAACAGGAGGAGAAAATAGGTTTTAAAATCAAGAAAGAGGAAGCTCTAGGGTAGCTTTTTTTTTTTTTTAATCAAAACCGATGTAGAGATTGCTGCAGTCAGTGTGAAAGGCCTGTGACCAGCGCTGGCCTTGAGCTTGTGTTGGGGTCCAGGAGGCCCCGTAGGTTCCTGCTAAGGGTCACGGGAGCCAGGGGAGGGAGAGGTGAGGGAGAGGTGAGGGACGGCTGAGCTGACTCGAGGTGACTTCCCAGATCACCCGTGGTGGGAACATTGCTGGAAGCTGGCCGGGGTTAGAGAGTAGACGGCATTGTCAGGGAGAGGGAGCACTGTGGGGAAGATGCGGACCACTCGCCACGTGGGAGGCTGTGCTTAGCATTTCTTTACATAAGTGTCTTATTTAAATCTGAAAACAATCGTACATGACAGCTATTTCTATCACCCCAGTTTTCCAGGGGAAGGAACTGAGGCTTAGAGACACAGGCTAGATAGTCCAAGACCACGTAGTCAGTGGGACTAGAACCAGATCTCCCTTCTCCGCCCTCTGCTGCCTGCGGGGAGACTCGCCCCAGGGGACAAGGTCTTGAAAGTCACTCAGAAGAGATTGGATTGGAGGCTGTGGGAAATGGGGCGGGGGTGGGGCGAGCATACACACTTCACCAGAAGAAAGCCACGGAGAAGCCCCCCAGTGCTCTGCAGGGTGGACTCAGGAGGGGACAAGGGAGGTGGACAAGGCAGGTGAAAGTTTAATTGTCTTTGAAGCCTTATATTACCAAACACAGAGTGAAAAAGAAATTTCAAGGATGCTGTTTGAAAAAGTTTATTTTTGAAAGGTGTATTTTGTGCTTGCTAACAAATGTTTTCACAGCAGTTTGAGTATCATTCCTTTTGCTGGAGCTGAAATTTCTTCTGTGGTCAGCACTTGATTCGTCACTGCGGGTCTTGCTTTTAAAACCTTCTTGAGATGAGTAAGCTTTCCGCATCCTGAAGTCTTTTGTTCATACTTGAAGTTGTCCCCTTACTCAGTTCAGTGGAAACGCTTTGCCCTGCAGGAAAGGTCAGTGCCAGGAGGCCGATTCCCCAGGCTGGCACTGGGCGTGGTGCTGAAGTCCCACCTTCGTAAATGCTCTGGGCTGAAATAGAGGCGAGAGTTGAGGGCACTGGGGGTGTCGGGGTACCAGACAGGGTTGTAGGTTCTTTCCAGTCATTTGTTCATAGAATTTCTGCAACAACAGACCCATGTCCACAGACCAGATCAAGAGTGCACTCCAGTGCCAGACAGAAGTCACGGGTGGATTTACTGTCGTTAGATGATTCAGCTCCCGTACTGTCTCACGAATGCAGATACCTCTGAGACCATGATTTCCCAAATTGCAGGTTCTTTATTCTGATTCATTTTCTGTCAACTAAAGTGCCTCGCCAAAGATTTTTTTCCCAGAAGAGCACATGGGTAGCATGTGTTCTAAGCCGTTGCCTATGTGAGGCACCTCCCTCAGGTGCCTCCCCTCCTGAGTAATGACTCTGCTGGGTTTTAAAATCTCAGGGCCCCAACTTTTCATCTCAAAGTTCAGTTAATGCATATTGTTGTCTTTTACAATTTAATGTGACAGAGACATCTGAGGCTAGTTTTATTTTTATTTCTGTATTGATCATGTGGATTTTGTGGGGTTTTGTGGGGGGAGGGAATTAATTAGGTTTGTTTGTTTGTTTGTTTATTTAATGGAGGTACTGAACCCAGGACCTCGTGCATGCCAAGCATGCTGTCTACCACTGAGCCATACCCCCACCCTGATCATCTGGATTTTATGTACTAGATTCATTGTTTTTTTCGTATCCTTGTAATTAAAAACAGTTTCTAATACACTCCTGGGTCTGAGTTTCTCCACATTGATTTGTATGTAATAAGGAAAGTTCCTTTGAGCTGCCTGTCTCTTGGATTTGCTTGTTTTATTTTTTAAAACAATTATTTTTAATTGTGGCAAAATAGGCATAACATGAAATTTGCTATCTTAGCCATTGTTAAGTGTACAGTTTAGCAGCATTAAATACATTTGAGACTGTGGGTAATCATTGGTCAAATCCATTTCACCTGCTAATCAAGGTCCTTTACAAAAGACTCGCATGTCCTTCAAACAGCAAGTGGCTTGAACAGTAAGATGCTTGCCCGAGTTGTTTTCCAGGAACGTGGAGTCAGCTGCATCTAGTTTTAGCTGAGCTGGTTAAGACTGGATGCGACCACTGCCCCTTCAGCTGGGCATACATGCGTGTCTGCTCCGTGACTGACATCAGAGGGCAGAAAACTCCACCCTCGGGTCAGGCCGAGCGCCTCTGTTTTCCAACGTGCCTCTAGAGGCCTGTAGCCCAGCGACGCCTGCGCAGAACGAGGATGCCTGCACCTTTTTCCAGTCACTTTTCCCCAAGCTCCCCTCGCTCAGACCGCCCTTCTTCTTTATTCTTCATCCCATAAATACCCTGAGCCCCTTGCTTCGGGAAGTGGGTCTGAGACCCACTCCCTGTTGTTGCTGCAAACCTGGGCGTCTCAGCGTTTCGGCTTGCTGTGCGTGGGGCAAACGAACCTGGCTTGGTAATGCATTCATATTGTTGTGCTTGTTTCTTTATGAGGGGGTGATTGGGTTTATTCATTTATTTCTACTTGGAGGAGGTACTGGGGATTGAACCTGGGGCCTCACGGTAGAGCATGCGCTCTACCACTTGAGCTATACCCTCCCCACTCCAGAACTTCTTCATCTTGCAGCACTGAGGCTCTGTACCTGTTAGACAGCTCCCTGTTCCTCCCTCCAGGCCCCTGGCAGCACCCGTTCTACTTTCTGTCTCTATGAATATGACTACTTTACGTCCCTCATATACGTGGAATCATACAGTTCCATCTTTCTTTGACTGGCTTATTTCACTTAGAGTACTGGTTTCAGGGTGCATGGACCCCCGCTCCCACCCGCTTAGAGGGCAAGACGCCACCAGACCTCATCGCCACCATGGCTCCACTGATGTCGGTCCTGCCTTATCCCTTCTGTCCTCACGGTGCTCCCTGCAGGGGTGGGAATATTCACTCACCAACCCACAGGTATTCGCCAGCCCCACCCTGTGCCTCAGTTGTGCTCGGGGCTGTGGATGCAGCACTGAATATGGTGCGGGTGGGAGGGGTACCCGCCTCCCCTCTGTGGTCAAGTAAAGGAGTTATTCATGTTTTGCAAGAAATGGTGGTAGCAGCTTGATAAAAATCATTTCTTTATCTTCATCTTGATTCAGACTCCTCTGCTAGTTGCCTCGGATTTAATCACAATGATCAGTCTTTTTTCCTGTAAGAACATTGAAATCAGATCAACAGAACTGGTTGGGGTGGAAAGAAACCTCAACTGTTTTGTTTGTAACTAAAAACCGTCTTAGATGCAAAATTATTTGAAGTAAAACAAATTTGTTTCAGTTGTTTGGGTGCACAGGACTGTTTTAGCTGAGAATTACCAAGCGGTTGGACAAGCTAGTTAGAAGTTGGGTTGATCTCAGTTGTATAATATTTGGCTTCTTCATTTGGATTTTTGCAGCTTGTTGGTAAGCCACCAAAGCTTTCTTGAGACTTCTCTGCCATCAGGGCACTGGTTGGAGAGCAAATCTACGTGGGAGATGTGTGTCTTTAGGCTTTCGAAGAATCCTGGTGTGCAGACCAGTTTTTCTACCTCTTGTTCATTGAGTGGTAGAAATACATTAAGTAACTCTAGAGAATCATGCTGACTTTTCTTGGAGCGTAAAGCATGGGTATGATAGCTTACCCACCTGCAGAAGCCCGTACTTTGGATGCAGAGTAAAAATGCATTCCAGCAGGCTTATTTGGCTCACTGCTTGCTGATAGTAATGAGGTCAAACTATCTTTCTGTTAGGGTCCTCCACTCATCGTATTACCACTGAACATTTGTATGCTAGAATTTGCAAAGAGCTTTTCAACAGTTATTTCTGTTTCGCTAATGGAATGACAGCATTAGCAAAGTTCAGGGCTATGAACATGGATGCTGGAATCTCCAGAAGTAAGAGCCATTGATGCACTGAGAGCTTGGCATTGATAATGATGACTCAAGCAGAGTCAGTGGAAAGTCAGACACAGAACTCAAGTCTCTGACTGTATCTTCTGCTCTCTCCACCACTCTTGGATTTTGCTTTCTGGATGTATTTATTAATTGATAAAAAAAAGTTTTAAAGAAGCCAGTCCTGATTCTACTTGAGAAATTTTAAAACATTAATCTGTTGCTGAGCTCAGAAAAATTTCCAAGAAGTTTTTGTAGCCAAATTCTGATTGAGTCGTCAGGAAAGAAATAATCAATGCTTCCTTTGGTCCCCGTGAGTCAGGCTACCCTGTGTTGGCCATAATGAGGACAGAGACACTGCAGGGGCACCACTGCAAGATCTGCTCACCTCTGGCTTAGACAGTTAGCCATAAGTGATCCTCCTTATAAGACTTGGGATCTGTGTGGACAGGGAGCCCTTGTGAATGCTGTTAGGGGATAATTGCTTATGAAGCAGCTGATTCTGCAGGAAGGATTTATGGGGAGCAAATCTAGTTCTCAAAGGAAAGAGCCTCAAATGCAAAAAGTGCTTGTCATTGTGTAGTTGAGGACCGGGGTGCTTTCATCCTTCCATCCTTTCGTCACAGATAAGCCCAAGAGACTTGTGGGTTTGTGTCCAAATCTGTCCCTGCTGAGTCAGCTCCTGCTTGAATTTCACAGGTAATCAGTTGGGATTCAATTAGATGATAAGATGGTTACGTCAGATGATCAGCACTAGGAGACCAATATTTTAATTTGCCTGCTTCTTGGATGGGCTCTGAAACCTGGGCTAGAGGACTTTGCAGTAAAATGTTGATTTATTCAGGTGTTTTCACCTTCCTCTCTCCCCGCCCCTTAGCAGTTCCGCTTTTCCGTGACTGTGTATTTCAAAAACAGGTGTGTTTACTCCTCCGTGGTGGCCTGTGTCTGCCTAGCTCAGCCGACCATAGAGAGAGTCATGGTTTGCTTGGCTGCTGAATTCTTAGCTCGGATCCCTTTTCCGATCTGAGACCTTGCCCCCTCCTAGCACCTGTCTCATATATGGAAGCTGTGGTCACAGGGTAGTGGGCTGGAGCATGTGAGAGAGTCGATTCGTTGAAAGGGTCGCCACCCCCAAGGAAAAAAATCAGAAAGTGAAGTTTATTATCAGATGGAGGCCTCCTTGTTTCCGCATTTGATCTTGCTCTCCTGCTCTCCTGATGTAATGCTTAGACTTTGTCCTGCTTGTAAGGATGGATGGAGCATCCTCAGAAACAGAGCAGTTGGCAGGAGGGGTGCTTCAGAGGAGCATGAATTCACCACCCCGTTAATCTCACCAAACTTTCTTGGTTTTTGATCCTCTGCTTGTCTTCAAGTACCAGAGGGGAAAATGTCCGTTGAGATGCTGAATTCTCCTTCAAGGGTTTTGTGTCAATTCAGTGGCCTAGATATCCAAGTTTCTGATTATATGGATGGAAAATTTTCCCTGTCTCTCTGGAGACATACCACAGTTGCACATTTTATGTATTTTTGACTCTGAATGATAGTGACTGATTATCAGAATTCCTTTATCAGAATTCATAAATGCTCTGCATATGTTTTCCTTGTTCTAGTCACTAGGCACCGAGAAAAATCACTCACGTACTAATCAGAGAATGTGAAAGTTTCTAAGCAGATAAAGGGGAGGATGTTGGTTGATGTCTTTTGACAACTACTAAAGCCCCACAGAGAGATAGGATACTTCTTTTAAAACAAATGTAGATTGGCATATATTTGTAAATTTACCACTTTGTAAGCGTTAACTTTAAAAATTCCATTTGAGTTCATATATAGCCTAAAAGAACCTAATGGAGAGTGTATTTTAGTAAGTACTTTATAGAAGAGAATTTGCCGTAAGTTGAGGTTTTAATTTTTCTTAAACTTGCATAACCTAGGAATGGACAAGTTTTATGGCACATTATTTTAAGGGTGTTAATAATTTATAGTATCTCTGTGTTTAACTATTTATGTCCCGAAAGACTGTTGACAGTTCTGCCTTTCTGAAGTTCTTTGAGGTTGAGGGGGGATTTCTTCAGAAATTTGGAAACTCTCAAGAGTAAAATATGTTTGGGAAGTTCAGTTTCAAGCAGTGAGCTCACAAAGGGCTCTGCACGGCTCTGCCTCTTACTTCAACGGGAGGGGATGCAGGGATGGAGCGATGCCCAGGGAGCCACTGTCAGACCGGCTGCCCCACATGAGGTCCCCTGTTTCTCAAGTGGCCCCTGAATCTCCAGTGAAGCACTTTGCTCCATACTCCAGAGCTCAGGTCCTCCCAGGAACCTTCTTAGGTGAATCCGCTCTGTTGGCTCTTGGTAAGTGTTGCAGTTAACTCCACCTGACCTTGACCCAGCCCAAGGATTCTCTCCCTCTTAACCAAGCAGACAGCAGTGAGTTTTTGTTGATCAACTATCCTTCATGCCGTTGCTCCCCACCATAAACATAAGTTGATCATTTTGACGGCAGTTTTGTTTCTCCTCGTATGTTTATTATGTTGGGCACACACACAGGTTAATATGTATGTTACATACATATTACCTCTGGGGTAAGGTGTGCCCAAGCAGAACCTCCCAGGTTCGCTGCTTACCAGGCAGATCTCTCAGCCTCTGTGGGAATCTGTCAGGGTAGGGACTGGAACTCTGAGGCCCTTTGCCAGACTAATATTTCGTGCTATTATCTCCCCACCTTTTATGCGCCAAATACAGCCCCGCCCATCTCTCTCTCTCAGGCCTCCTTTCTGCTTGTTTTCCAGAAATGTGAAAATAAAAACTGGAGAATGGTTCTTTGAGGAACGAGCCAAGAAATTTCCAACTGAAGGTAAATGCTCTTAAAAGTTTACTAAAGTAAAATGATATAGTCCCAGTTTAAAAATACTTGGTGTTGAGATCTTTGAATGTGAAAAACTTAACAAGGCGAGGTATATGGGCCTCTGCCTCTGGTCAGTCCTCCTGTTCCTTTTGTTTAAACTTTCCTATCTCTGCTCCTCAGCTCATGTGGTCACCATCTTTGCTTTGGGGGCTCCCTCTATACCCCCATTTCTACCTGCTGAAATGCTTCTGTTCTCCATGAAGTTTCCCTGACTTCCTGCCTCTGGAAGTGACGCCTCCTTCCTCTGAAACACCGCTTTGTACATCTCTTCCACAGTTGTTGAAAGTTCCTCATATTATATCATTACTTATGCCTTTCTCTTTTTCTTCACAAGCAGAAACTGCACTTTTAAAATCTTGTTAGCTCCTTTCAGCACAAAACCTTGTTCATGATCAAAATGATTGAATAACTGAAGACCATAGTGAGTGAACTGTGTTAGGGTTTAGCAGATATTGATGATTATGAAGTGAAGCACATATGATTATGTGGGTGGAAGCATGTATTTGGTCTGTGTACCACCAATGTCTTATGAGGTATTTGCAAAGTTGATGTAACGGTGTGATTAGTCGCTGGACCCCAAGGCCATGGAGAGGATACAGAAGTGCCGTGTCGGAGGATGTGAACTGGACAGATAAGAGAATGACTTATCCCCCAAAGGCACACACCCGTGTTATCACAGTCAAGTGGAGCCTGCATGCTCTGTAGTCCTATCCGTTCATGGTGGTGACATGGGTAGCTACTTCCTCTGTGTTGTGTGACAGTGGGGACTGCACACAGGAGAGCCTAGACTGACTCAGATGGAATGGGGTGGCTGGAAACACTGTTTTAAAAATAGTGACAGTTTAAGATGAAGAAATAAGCTATTTTGCCTCAACCATAAATGTGTGTTGGCACAGAAAGGAAGCCATTCATTTGAATGTCGATGTCCAGCTTTTATAAAAACACTGTTAATCGAGGTCTGTGCTTAGTCGGTGGTGAATTCTCCCCTGGACTATAGCCCTGACTCTTTCTTACTCAAGGAGAGTGATGTTTCTGCTAAATTTATTAGGAATCTGGAGGGATGCTGAAGACTGATGGAAATGCTCAAGCAAAAAAACCAAAAAAAAACCAAAAAAAACCAGCAAGTGTGTATGATTTTATCCAGATCTATGCTTCTTAATCCTTTTTTTCATTAGTTCCCTCTCTCTGGTCCCCAAACAGTCTTGTTAACACTTTTTGCCGAAATATTACCTGTCCGTGAAAGTTTCACATCCCAGATGTCTTGTATACCTGCTTATGTTTTGAGGCCTTTTGGAGCATACCACAGACCATTGCAACATCTAAGATTTCTTTTATTGAATGTAATCGGTTTACAATGTTGTATTAATTTCTGGTGTATAGCTAAGTGATTCAGTTATAAACATATATCTCTTTTGATATTCTTTTTCATGTAATAGGCTATTATAATACATTGAGTATAGTTCCCTGTACTATGCAGTAGGACCTTGTTGTTTATCTATTTTATATATGGGTTTATCTGTAAATCCCAAACTCCCAGTTTATCCCTCCCTACCCCCTCCCCCCCATAACAATACATTTGTTTTCTATGTCTGTGAGTCTGTTTCTGTTTTGTAAATAAGTTCATTTGTGTCATTTTTTAAAAGATAGCACATATAAGAGATACCATATGGTATTTTTCTTTCTGGCTTACTTCACGTAGTATGACAATCTCTAGGTCCATCCATGTAGCTGCAAATGGCATTATTTTATTCTTTTTCATGGCTGAGTAGTATTCCTCTGTGTGTGTCTGTGTGTGTGTGTTTACCACAACTTCTTATCCAGTCATCTGTCAATGGACATGTAGGTTGCTTTCAAGTCTTGCCTGGGTCTTGGCTAGTATAAATAGTGCTAATATGAACATTGGGGTGCATGTATCTTTTTGAATTAGTTTCCTCTAGAGATATTCCCAGGAGTGGGATTGCTGGATCATAGGGTAAGTCTATTTTTAGTTTAAAGAATGTCCAAACTGTTTTCCATAGTGGCAGCACCAAACTACATTCCCACCAACAGTGTAGGAGGGTTCCCTTTTCTCCACAGCCTCTCCAGCATTTATAGTTTGTGGGTTTTTGAATGATGGCCATTCTGACTGGTGTGAAGTGATACCTCATTGTAGTTTTGATTTGCATTTCTCTGATAATTAGTGATACTGAGCATTTTTTTCATGTGCCTCTTGGCCATTTGTATGTCTTCATTGGAGAAATGTTTGTTTAGGTCTTCTGCCCATTTTTTGATTGGGTTGTTTGGGTTTTTCATTACTGAATTGTGCAATATCTAAGACTTTTTTCATTCTCCAATACCAGTTTTTGCCCTCTTGGGACTACCGTCCACATCCATGTGGTGCGGGTGAGCAATGGCAGCATGGAGTCTTCCTAAATGTTTTATTGTTTTGTTTCTTTAAAATGCTTTTTTGCTTGGAGGCTGGGGTCTTCAGGTGGCAGACATATTTGCTTTTTTTTTTCACTTCTAGTCCTAGTTCATCAACAATAAGACTGTCAGGAGTGAAATTTCTGTTATTTCTCAATACCAACTCAGCAAAGACGTCTCCTGTAATTTTTAAAATACATCGTTGGAGGGTTTAGTATCATTTCTATTAGAGAAATTAATTTGCAGGCTAGAACACGTGTGTGCATGTGCATGCGTGCTCGGGAATGGTACCATCTCGTCTTTCCCGCACTCTTCTAGATGAGTAGAAGTAGGTTATCCTGGAGGTTTACTTGCGATAAAGGGAGGAGGAAAGAACTGAGACCGACTCCCAGTGTTTTCCTTCCTGTTCAGTGACTTTCCACAAGAGTGAAGGCATCAGTAAGAAAAATGAGAGGAATGAAAGTCAGCCTTCAGCATAAATCATTCTTTTCAATTTCTGTTGTTTTCCCAAAGCGTAAAACAAACAAACAAAATTTTTAAAAAAAAATCCTTCTCTACAAGGCTTCCTCAAATGCGGCAATGCCTCATTTCCTTATTGCCCAATTTTAGCAGAGTTGGCTTTTTAGGTATGGAGAGGTGAAGAAAAAAGCCAACTTATTGTTGTGAAGTTAGAGAATTTCCAGTTTTGCTGTTACATTTTAGGGAGTTTATAATGTTATTAAAATGATAAATAAAAGTGCAATGAGCACGCTTGTAGATAAATCTTTGGCACATCTCTGAATATTTCTAGAAACAGGACAAGAGAAAAGGTTAGAAACGTTGCCTCCAGAAAGGTTGTACCTTTCTCACCAGTAAAAATTATCCTTTAAGACAAGCAACAACTTTGTCAGTTTGCTAAAACCCCATTGGTGGTCCAGAATGGTTACTTGCTGTTTTCGTTTGAATTCTAATGACTAATGAGATTGAATATTTTCCACCTTTTGACCTTCTGCAGATGTCCTTCATGTGTTAAGGCTATTTGCCCTTCTTGGTCATATTGGTTACGTATGTATCTTTATGTTTTTTAACATACAGAATTTTTTTTCTTGTTGGTGGGTAAATCTACCCTTTCCTATATAATTTCTTTCTTTGCTTTTATGCTTAGAGACACCTTCCTTATCCTGCCATCAGTTGTATATCCACATTACTTTCTTCTAATTTTTATAATTTATTTATACTTAACCCTTTTCAATGCATCAAGAGGCCTGATCTAATTTTGTTTTCTTCTCCCAATCATCAGTTTTCTCAATTTGTTCTGCAGTTACTCCCTTTTCCATTGGTTTATAACCCAGGGCCAGTGATTTGCACAGCTTTGGCCCTGAGCCCCAAGGAATTGACCATGTGGATACCACACCCAGATTTTGAATTCTTTGAGGGTGGGAGCTATGAGCGAATGAATAGTGAATGGATGAAGTAAGGCTAGAGCTGTTTGAAGGTAAAAGATGATGTCATGTGTAGAAGTGCCCACTGTACATGGTGGCACCAAGTAGGCACCTAAGAATGAAAACTTAGCATTCTTTTCCTTTTTGGCATCCAGAAACCTACAGCTAAACATAATGTCCAAGTGAAGTAATTCCAGGAATCACTATGCCCTCTGTCACCCAATTAATTATATGCTTTTACTTATCTCTTTTAATGGTCCTGTTGGATGTGTACCGTTTAAGATAAGTGCTCCCCAAATTTCCTTGAAACTAAACAAGGTGTAAGTAAGAGTCCAATGAAGAACAATAGATATTAATTGTGGCATTTTGTTGTGCTAATTTTCTAACTATTAAAAAGATATAAAACATAAAAACCCATGAGCCCCAGTTCTCTATTTTGCAGGGAGATGACATGAAAAGTATTTAAACATTTTGCTTTCCTAAAAAGTTTCTTTTTCTGGATTACAGACTGGCTTTTTTTTTCTTTTCCTGTAAGATGTTATAATTTAATACTTAGTTGTCTTGTCTTAAAATAATTCTTTATATACCATCGTTGCAGTTCATCTGTGATGCCTCAGAATGATCAAAATGCACAGATTTTTGAGGGCATCCAGGGCGTTTTTATGCTGCTCCCTGACCGTTCTGGTACCGTAGCCTCCGCCCCTTCACCCTCAGGCATTTGGCAATCTCTGTACAGAGGGTCTTATTGTGACTTCTGAGGCGCCTGCTCCAGGATCAGCTGAGAGCTATTTCAGATTAAAGTCAAAGTTCCTGATTCAGTGGGACCAGGTGGGGCTGGGGCATGTATACAGACATCCCTCGATATCCATCGGGGATTGGTTCCAGGACCCCTATGATACCAAAATCCAAGGATGCTCAAGTCTTTTATGTGAAATGGTATATTATTTACCTAACCTACACCCATCCTCCCTTGTACTTTAGGTTCCTTATAATACCTAAGACAATGTAAATACTAAGTAAATAGTTGCCAGTATACAGAAAATTCAAGTTTTTCTTTTTTGGAACTTTCTGGATTTTGCGTGTGTCCGTGTGTGAAAGTTTTCCATCAAGGTTGGTTGAGCACAG